CCATATGTTTTTGGTTATAAAAGTTGAACACTTAAGCTTATTTGTAATGAAAAAAAAAACTTTTTTTTTTTTACATGTTTTATCAGCTTATCAGAACCAGTAAAAAATATTTGTTTGACGTTAGTTATATAGTGTAATGTGCTGGAGATAGTAAACCGATACGTATAAAGATACAAAAATTATTGCTGCTATCACTGTTGCTGTTGTTATTGCTTCCGAAGGTATTGTAAATTTGGTAACAAAAATTAATTTTTACAAATTGTCACTGTTTTAGTAAAGTTTTAGTAAACTTATTTTAGTGTATTCCTTATTCTTTTTTTTCGCTAAATGTATATTTTAGTTGTAAAATTGAACTTTTTTTTTGGTTGGTTTTTTTTTTTTCAGAATGATTGAGTAATTTATTTTAAAGTTTAAAAAAGATTTGTTCTTTGTAACATTTTGTTATTCTCAAATTTTATCTAAGTTAGTGTCGCCAATTAAACTGCAGACTATCTGTTGTTACCTCACCTGCTCCATCTTTGTCTGGCTCAGACTACGAGACAACAAAAAGAGCAAAAAACAAAGACGAAATTCTGAGTCGGAGAGAGAATCTCATGTATTATTTGACGTTCTTGAGATTCTTCTTTCTGACTTGGAATTCTGTTTTTGATAATAGCTAATCCAGCAGTCAATCGCCTTCGCGGTTGAAGTTTTTCTGAAAGAAATATTTCCATATAGACTGCATTGTATTCCCAAAATTAGGCTTGCTAACAGCACGCTTAATATCTTCACTTTCTACGACCTATTTTTTCATGAATAACCTACTGAATTTTTAACGTTATAATTAAATGACGACAGAATAATTTTTTATTTTTTTTAATATTAATTTTTTTTTGGTTCTTAAAATATATGACTATACGCAAAAATTTTGTTTTTCTACTTTAACAGAAGCGTTTTATGACCCTGCCTTTACCGCGAGTTTTTCAAATTTAGACAAAATACTCAAAATGTTATTTTTACTATTACAGCAGTATTTGTTGCTGAATTTTGGATTATGAATATCTGCTATGTAAATTTTCTGGTGTTTTTTACTGGTTTACAAACTTTTCTATTGGGCGTAAATATAGAAAAAAGCAGTGTTGCATTGACTGTAAACATATAATTAATTGTTAAAGAAAAAACTAGGAAGCAAAGGTAATTTTAACCAAAATATGATCTGAAAATTTGTTTGAATTTTTATTACTTTTGCTTTAGGACTAAAAGTAACAAGAAATTTTTTCTGGAAGTAGCTATTTTCTTTTTGTTTTCAATTGAATGCATACTCGGTACCAACTTCAAAAATGTTGAAAAGTTGATAGGTCATTTCTTTCAGAAAAAAGGGCCATTAAATACGGTTGCAGAGATTAGACCTACTGGGTTGATTATAAGTTCAGCTATAACGTAACCAACAACTTCACCTAAATGAGTCATGAGATAAAGCGGGAGGTTGAAGTGCCAGTGTTAAATCAAGTGAAGTGCTAGCATTAAATTAAGCAGAAACAGTTGATTTAGATTAGGGTAAGAAAAGGTAAAAGCAAATATAGGTGGAAAAGCAGGAGGAATAGGAATAAGAAAGGAAGAGAAAGCTTAACCTGAGCAAATTTTTCTGTTCTATCTGGATATTCGCTTACCTAAACTAGTATTGCACTGCCATCCGCGAACCTAATCAGAGGATGACGAATGGTCACAGTATTACCAGAAGAGAAGTGTATGCTTGACCTGAAGAGTTAATGGGCTCAGTGCGTCATAGTTCTGTGAGTAGGTGCTTATGAATGAATTGGCTGCCGTAATTGCAGAAATAGAGGACGTTTTATTGGAGTAGACTGGTAAGATTCGGTATGATTTTGCTTTTTTTTTCGTTCTTTTTCAAAGTATATTCTGAAACAGCAAATTTGGTTGGTTTTTTTTTTTCAAAACTTTTTACCTCTTAAATATCGTATTCAATTTTGTACTTTGTAGATGCAAAAATAAGAAAATAAATTAATTTTTGCTTATTTAAAATAAATTATTTAGAAGAAGAAAAAATTAAGCTTTACATTCTATTACAGCTCTATAGCTTTTACTTGTAATTTCTTAGTTTGCCTTTCTTCTTTTCAAAGCTAAAAATTACTGTTGAGTATACAAATTCAGCATTAGTAACTTTTGAACTTGAAGACTATGCTAAAACCTTTTGGTAATTGCAGCTGAAAAAAATGTTTGCTATACACATTTTAAGGTTCTGCAAATCACTCTTGCTCAAAACTCTAATGATTTTCAATTTCTTCTTTTGACTACAACTATTCTTCTCTAAAAAAACTTGCAGAAATCAACTGCTCACTATCAGTCAAGAGAGATTAAAGATTAAACTTTTTATGAAATCCTAAGCATTACTGGTAACTTTAAATAAAAATATGCGATAGACGAACAAGCAAAAAATTGGCAGTTTTTTAACCGTTTAGAAACGGAAGACGTCAGGCCCTCCAAATTCCTCTAAAATATTTGATCGGTAGGCGCCTGTTTGGTTGGTCTAAATCGGAAAGCTCTATGAGTTTTTGGAAAAACGTCATTGCTCAACGCGAACAACTGTAATTTTAGCTAATTCCAATTTGTTCTCAATCTACCGACTTTGTGAAATGTCTGTTTCGTTTTTGTTACATCACATAAACCATTAGCTAATGCCACACTGATTAGGAAAAATGCGACTTTACGTTTCAAGTTTTTGTATATTACTTCTGATTCTGCACTTGACTAGGCTACTCTTAAGCACGTTTCTGCTACAAAAAACTTGTTTTAGTTGTATTTTTT